AATCAAAATGGTGCTTTTTTCTATGCCGAGTAACAAGTCGCCAGGGCCTGATGGCTTTAATGCTGAGTTTTACAGAGCTACGTGGTCGGTTGTGGGTTCAGAGTTCATCATTGCGGTGAAATCTTTTTTTGAAAAGGGATTCTTACCAAAGGGAATCAATTCAACAATCCTTGCGTTGATTCCGAAGAAAACGTCTGCTATCGAAATGAAAGATTATCGTCCGATTTCCTGTTGCAATGTGCTTTATAAGGTTATCTCAAAAATTATTGCCAACAGACTCAAAAGCATTCTGCCTCAGCTCATTGCAATGAACCAGTCAGCATTCATTCAGGATCGTCTTCTTATTGAGAACCTCCTTTTAGCGACAGAACTTGTGAAGGATTACCACAGAGATGCTTCCCCTGCTCGTTGCGCAATCAAAATAGATATCTCGAAGGCATTTGATTCTGTTCAATGGCCTTTTCTTCTTAATGTCCTTCGCGCTATGAACTTCCCTGATGTGTTCATACACTGGATCTCTCTCTGCATCACTACAGCCTCATTCTCAGTTCAAGTTAACGGAGAACTTGCCGGTTTTTTTCGAAGTAGCAGAGGATTGAGGCAAGGTTGCTCTTTATCCCCATACTTATTTGTTATAAGCATGAATGTGCTTTCTAAACTACTGGACAGAGAAGTGAGTGCTCAGTATTGGTTATCACCCGAAATGTAAAAACCTGGGCCTTACTCACCTCAGTTTTGCTGATGACACCATGGTCCTTTCTGATGGAAAAGTGAGATCGGTCGAAGGCATTGTAAAGGTTTTTGATGAGTTTGCGAGGATTTCAGGCCTGAAGATCAGTATGGAAAAATCTACGATCTATGTCGCAGGGGTTACAGACTCGGTAAGGTCTGAACTTGATGAAAGATTCGGCTTTCAGACAGGTCACCTTCCTGTACGATACCTGGGTTTACCCCTTCTTACGAAGCAAATGCAGAAGCAAGACTATCTGCCTCTAATTGAGAAATGTTGCAAGCGAATTTGCTCATGGACTGTTCGATCTTTGTCTATTGCAGGGCGGCTGCAGCTCATTCGATCTGTTCTTCATAGTATCATGAATTTTTGGATGGCAGGATTTCGTCTTCCAAATGCATGCCTTACAGAAATTGATAAACTCTGCTCTGCGTTTCTTTGGTCAGGCCCGGATTTAAATCCTCGCAGAGCAAAGGTTGCTTGGGAGGATGTCTGTAAGCTTAAATCTGAAGGAGGATTGGGTCTTCGGCCTTTGAAAGAGGCAAACAATGTGTGTTGTTTAAAGTTAATATGGCGCATAGTTTCTTCTCATCCATCCCTCTGGGTCAAATGGATTCAAACGTATCTTATTCGGAAAGAGACTTTCTGGTCGATCAGCAACAACACTAGTACAGGATCATGGATGTGGCGAAAATTCTTAAATATAGATCTCTGGCTAGCTCTTTCTGTAAGGTTGACATCGGGAATGGGGAAAACACGAGTTTCTGGTTTGACATTTGGTCGGGTATGGGACGCATTTTCGATCTGGTAGGGACGAGAGGCCCTATAGATATCGGAATCCCTCTTAATGCTTCTATTGCGTCATTGTCTCGAAGACGCCGTCGACGCCACCGGATTGATTTGCTCACAGAGATTGAAAATGTCTTGGAAGCCAGACTTGCGCAACTCAGCTTAGGAACAAAGGATACTTTCTTATGGAAGCACAAAGAGGGCTCCTTCAAACCCTCTTTTAGTTCGAAGCAGACCTGGCTTCTCATTCGATCGGTTTCAGATACAGTTTCATGGCACTCAGGAGTCTGGTTCACGCACTGTACTCCGAAGTTCGTGGTATTCGCATGGCTCGCCATCCTAAATCGTCTATCCACTGGAGATCGGATGCAAAGCTGGAATGTTGGGGCAAACACTGCGTGCTCTCTCTGCAATTCTAGTCTGGAATCCCAGGACCATTTATTTTTCTCCTGCAGCTATTCGAGGGAAATTTGTACTAAGCTTACCAAAAATTTGCTTCGAAACAGCTTCACTACGAGCTGGAATGATGTTCTCCGCCTCCTCTCAGACTCGCGGCTTGATCGCATAACTTTATTCCTGTTTTGCTTCTCTCTTCAAGCTACCATACATAGCATTTGGAGAGAACGAAACTCTCGCCGTCATGGAGATGACCCACTTCCGGCAGCTAGGATTCTGCATCTCATCGACAAACTTTTTCGATGCCAAATCCAATCCATTCGCAACATGAGAGATAGAAGATATGAGGACGCTCTTCAAACGTGGTTTAGTACCCGAGCTTGAACTCTCTTTTTGAAAGCTGTATTTTGTTTACTACCTCTTAGTCCTCTCTTTTAAACACAAGTCGCACCTCATGGGGTTGTAAAAAAGTCTTTTTTGATTTTGAATATAATATTACATTCATTTCAAAAAAAAAAATTTTCATGTAGATTATAAATATGAATTTTGAAATAATGATTTGCATCATTATTCTATAATCCACCCATAATATATCCATGGCTCTAATTAGTGACCATTAAAAGAATAATAGGAATGAATAGAAAAAAAATGAAAAAAAATAAACAATGGAAATGTATTTTCTTTATTGTTCCTTGTTAAATTTAGTGAGGAATATTTTTGTTCTATAACTTTCTAAAATGAAAGAATGGCAAAGAATAGTGTATAAACATATTATTTTATAAATAAAATATATCTTTTTGAGGAATGAAGAGGAATGTGTATAAATAAATTTCATAAAAATGGTATATTTTTAAAGAATGAAGAGGAATTTCATTATTATTTATCATTCCTTGGTCACCAATTAGAGGCAATTTGGTTACGAAATATCGCAGTATATAGTCAATTGCTTCAGCTTCTTTCTATCTCTTTATATCATCTTCATAATTTGCGTCTTGTCTCTCTATGTGTTCATGCTCATTCATTTCATCCTTAATAGAATCATCTATAATATTCATCCCTCGAATAAAATTATGAAGACCTATAGTTACAAATACTATTCGTTTCTATGTTTCAAACGTTTCTATGTTTCAAAATTGTATCTCAATAGTTCTTTGACAACAAATAATGATTGTATGTAAGGAAAAAAACTCTAAGTAATTTATATTGCTTGCAAAAAAAAGAAAAAGAATTATAGTCTTATACTAATAAAAGTTGAAGCTAAATGCCTCTAAGGGTGTCTACATAGGATTAATAAGAGTAATTCTATTGGTCCACATCAACATTAAAAATAAAGTAAGTTTACAAATTAATAAAACAAATAAAAAAAATAAAGAACTTATGTATCAAATTTTTATTGGTCAACTATAATATCAAAAATTAAGAAAGTTAAAAATTTTATTATTATTTTTAAAAATTATTAAAGATAAGTAAATTATGTTTAAATTTATATTAATAATAAAAACTAAAATAATATTAAAGTAGGAAAGTTATAGAATAATAATTAAGAACAAATAAAATAGTAAAGTTTCTTCACATATACAACACATAATTAGAGACTCGTGCATTAGCATTCAAGTTTTTGTCACGTAACTATAACAAAAGATTAAGTTAATTTTGTGTGTGTGTGTGCGCAACCATTTTGATTCAAAAAAATAAAAGAATAATAGACTTAGCTTTAACTTAAGAATGAATTATTACAATGTAAAAGAGCCAACTTGGCTGAACTATCCATTAAACTATTAGCTAAAAAATCCTATTATATTAATAAAAGTTGAAGCTAAATGCTTCTAAGGGTGTCACATAGGATTAAAAATAGCAATTCTATTGGTCCACATCAAAACTAAAAATTAAGAAATAATGAAAGAAGATATAGACAAAGCCACCACAAGTCGCTTTAATGTCAAGAAAGAGACTATAATTCTCTAAAGCTTGGCCACCGTATTTGAAAAAAATGATAAGTTTCAAGCAATCCAAGAAACATGTCAAGTGATTGATACCCAACATTTTGAAAAACAAACACGAAGAATAGAGAAAGAAGTTCCACCATTAAGGTGGAGGAGACCGAGGTATTCGAGGAAGATCCTTGGAAGAACATGGAATCTGACATGGTTTTAAAAACCCAACTTGAACCACAATAGTAACAATTAGCTAATCAAGCAGCATCGGACTACAATCAGTAAGCCTCATCGCAAGGAGGAGTAATTGCAACCACTTGCCACAAAGGGCCTTGTGCATGATCTTTCAGCTTTGATTTATATCACATACGGGCCTCAAAGTTATATAAAAGTTGAAATTATTTCATTGAAGTTACATAATATCGTGAGTGCATTTAATATAGTAAGATTTGTGCTTATTAGTTTGTTTTTTCATCTGTAAATTAACTTGAAAATTTGCATTGATTAAAGTAGCTAAATTTTTAATTATCTTGCATATTTTGTATTCCACGGAAAACATATATAATGAGAATGAATTGAAATTATTTTATTGAAGTTACATAAGATCGTGAATGCTTTTAATATATGTCACCAGACAAAATTACAGTTTCTATATGTTCCAGGTAAACAAAAAAGCATATTTATTTTGTCGAAATTTTTTTAATTATTAATTTGTTTCAATGTTCATTCTATTTTTTTTTGTTTCAAAACTATTTTTTTAGATACGAGAGTAAGATTTGTGCTTATTACTTTGTTTTTTCGTCTGTAAATTAAATTGAAAATTTGTATTGATTAAAGTAGCTAAATTTTTAATTATCTTGCTTATTTTGTATTCTACAGAAAATATATATATAATGAGAATGAAGTTAAATAAAATGAAAAAACTTATTCACTTTGATTAGAAGAAATGAGGTATGATCATTATAAATCATTTAAAAATTAACATAAATAATATGACACAAATGTCATGAATCTGAAAGCAAGAATTATAATTTTTTTTTTTTTGAACAGCCTACTACTTTCATTAATACGGAATTATGGCGAGTTTTGGGCCCCACTAAGGGAGGAACAGAGGCCCAGTTTTGCAAGAGCATCAGCTCTGGAGTTTTACAACCGAGGTACAAACGAAAAAGAGATAGAAGAAAACATAGAGGCAAGAGTGTTGATGTCGAAAAGAAGACCGAAGATCTCCTTGATCGTCTCCTGCAGATTAATAGCTCAGATCAGGTCCTGAGCGTCAGATTTCCGGTGGATTTGCGTGAATCCCTTGCCGAGGCAGTAATCCAAGGCAGATCGTATGGCTAGAGCTTCGGCCATGAGTGGTGAGAGGACGTTTGGTTCTGAGGTGCAACCTTTACCCATTTCGGAGCCTCTATTGTCGAAGATTATCCATCCGAGACCTGCAGAGCTTGGATCGGATCTCCAAGCCGCATCAGTGAAGCAGGTATGGTTCGAAATTTGGGATCGATGTCGAGAGGGATTTGAAATGGAGTGTAGGGGTTTTTCCTTGATTTGAGATGATTGCCATTCCCTTGCATTCACAATAGCTTTGATTGCTGTTTCCGCAGGTGTGAATGCTCTATCTTCAAATAGGAGGTGGTTGCGTGCAGAGCAGATGGCCCAACAGACCCATGGAAGAATTGGTCCCGATCCCACTCCCGATGGGGGTAGACAGACCATGAACTTAGATCCCATTAGGCCTGTCTCGAAGAAAGAAATCCTGGTTGGTTCGAGCTGATCTCGAAGAGGAATCAGGGACCAAACCTTACGTGCAAAGGAACAGTGGAAGAACAAATGTTCCGCTGATTCGAGATCTGCACAGAAAGGGCATCCTGAGTCCACTTGGAGACCTCAGTTGAGGAGGTTTTCGCCTAAAGGTAGTGCCCGTTGTATAATCTTCCACACGAATACCTTGAGCTTTGGAGAGTATTGTGCTGACCAAATCTCTGAATTCCAGTTAAGAGATGGGTGTAGAATTTGATGTGGAGTCTCACTAATTTGAGGTATACTCTCCTGATTTGGTCGGAAGCCAGATGAAGCGGTCCTCAGCACCGTTGGAGCTTGGTCTGAGGCATAGGATTTTGTCAGCATAGGCCGGTAAGGTATCCTTGACTTTATCTTCCTTCCAGGACCCATTCTCATTGATAAGTTCAGAGACTGTCCAGTCTTTAGATGCGAGAGTGGGAGGACCAACAGGCCATGAAGGGGAGGTCAAGGATAGCCAAGGGTCATTCCATAAAGAGGTATGTTTCCCATTCCCAATGGCTATACCAAGCTGTTTAACTAATAGATCTCTTCCGATTAGGATGCCTCGCCAGCCATGGGAAGTAGATGAGGTAATAGGTGTTTCCAGGATCGATTTGTCCTTGCAATATTTCCCTAGAAGCACTTGATTCAGGAGGCTGGATGGGTTCTTGATGATTCTCCAGGCTAGTTTAACTAATAGTGAGTTGTTGAATTGTTGGATTTCGCGAAAACCCAATCCACTTTGTTGCTTTGGCTTTGAGAGTTTACGCCAAGATATCCAGCACATTTTCTTATGCTCAACATTATTGTCCCACCAAAATCTAGTTAGAGCTGACTGAATGCGTTTGCACAGGCTGGTGGGTAACTTGAAGCAAGACATGGAGTTGTGTTGGAATGGCGGAGAGCACAGACTTGATCATCGTCAATTTCCAGGCGACAATTTTTTCGAAGACCAGCTGGCCGCTTTGTGTCTGATACGATTCACCAACATAGTAAAGAGGTCTTTCTTTCGTCTTCCAAAACCCTCGGGTAAGCCTAAAGATTTCCCTTAGCCCCCTTCATTGTGGATGTCTAGAATATTTCCCTTGGCCCCCTTATAATTATTAGTTTGTTTTTCAATGTAGTATATTAAGAAATTTATATTAGTTAAATTAGCTAAAAAAGTAAAATAATTTTTATATTTATTATTTTTTGTTATTTTATAGAAAACGAGGATGGAACTAAAATAATAATAAAAACAGTGTTTTCTTAATTTGGAGAACTGATGTATAATTTTCAATCTTGTATCAATATTATAATTATTAAATAGCATTTGATTACCTTATTATAGATTTAGTTAGCTTTAGTATACTATTTATAAATATTATATCAAATTATAAGTTTTTCAAACATAACATATTATATATTCAAAATAAGACCATGAAATCTCATAAATTAGATATAAGTTTTAAGATTAAAACTGCAATTTGTTTATACATATTATTATATTTAATAATATACATAAAATAATATCTTAGTAAATATAATTAATTGTATATAATTTTTTTTTTTAAAATAGTATTTAAAAACGTCACGTGGGTGAAAAACCTAGTATATTTAAATAATGCATATCTTTTAAGTGAATGAATCAATTATTTTCTTCTTGAAATTGTTTTTGTAAACAAAGTTTTTTCTATGAAACTTTTATGTCGCCAAAACGACGTTGTTTTATACATGGCATCCACGTCATCGAGATTTAGCGGACAGTTAGTTCTATAACAGTAAATGCATGAATTAGCACTAAATTAAACAGTTATGAATGAAATTTAATTTGTTTTTTATAATTTCAGGTATGGATTTAGACGTTAGTAAACTATTGGTATAAATATTAGAATACTCTGTTTTGACAGAATCTTCCAGGCATACAGTACCTGGATACAACCATCAATTAATCTTGTTAGTTGCATACATGTAGTGGTCCAGTGGATTGGTTGAAGGAAAACCAGAGACTATAGTCGATCCTTTTTTTATAGAAATCCAAGAGACAAGATCATGAAGTTGTTCAAGAGAATGCATCAACGAGACCAGCCATGAGCTCTGTAATAGTTTGGCCTCTTAGTGAGACTATCACTAAAGCTTTACCTAAGGCTTCAACTTTCACTGGAAGTCAATCTCATTCTGAAAATGGTACTCTATGTCAATGAGTAATAATGTCTTCACAGAGTTGAGTTGTCATGAAGTTATATAAATCAGTTAATCAGAATGTTAAAGTAGAATTAGAAACATTGTATGTGTCATCTAAAAAAAATCAAACAGTAATGGAATGCATGATTCCTCCCATTCTTGTAATCCTAAACTTGTAGAGAATGTCTTTTGTTTAAAGACTTTTCTGTTATGTTTAAATTTTTTTTGAACATTTCGTAATAAAATAAAACCAGAAGATAAAAAAAAAAGAAATGGGCAATTTTTTATTAAAATTGTAGTTTTAAACTTATAAACATAAAAAGCATTCTAAAAAGGACATAAATAATATATTTTATTAGAAATAGATATATATTTATCAAAATAATCTTCCACTCAAATAATAGATTGAAAGATCACCTAAGTAACATTTATAAAAGCAACTACCATCTTAATATATATTGTTCATTTTTATTTTATTTATATCCCATTATACGGGACAATAACATAGCATAAAAGGAAATCAAACTTAAAAAAGATAGAAACTCAAGTCATCTTAGTATTTGAAACCAAGAGAAAGTTCAAGGGACATTTTTTCTTTATTCTTCAAATCTTCTGAGTTTAAAGGATCATTTGCACCATCACCAGTAATAGCAACATCATCATCAACATTAACAACATTATTTTTATCATTATCTTTATCATCGTCTCTGATTTCAATTAGTCGGATCTGCCATAAAAGAAAACATATAGATAATTAAATAGTTCTTTACAATTAAATCATTCGCATGTTTCTACTGTCACATATATCTTCTTTATCTATTTTTTTTAGTCAAAATATCTTACCACAATCAACAAAAACCAAAAAATGAAGAAAAATGCCATCAAAAAATAACATTAAAAATATTTTTGATATCATAATTTATCTGTAAAATCTGATAAATGTAAATATTTTGGCAAAATTATAGGCATATGTAAGGTATGATGATCTTGTATATCCGATTTTATCTAGGTCATATCATATGCATCAAAACTCATATTGACAATCATGCATGATTGTAATTTATGCAAAGGAAAATAAAATTTACTCTGGATGATTGAAAGAGAGATTTGCAAGACACATCCATAGTTTTGTTACTTAATTTCCGATTTGAGGTTATCTTTTCATTAATATTGTACTGTAGCCTACAAGAAATTGAAAATAAAATTAATCATTAATTCCACAGAAAACAATTAAATGAAATTGAACTAATATTAATTAATTATGGCATAAACCTTTGTTGGCTTTGGATAAACTTGGTTGTGTCTCGAAGATGTTCATAGATCCGAAGGTATAGTTGAGTTTGCCGCCACCTCAATTTCCGTATCATTCTCTTTTTTGCTGAAGAATTGCACATGAGTATATATATTTAATGGATACATATATATTCTATGATTCGATTCAAAGAATTCTCATAACCATATGTAATTCCATAGAGCAAAATCAAAAACAATACTATGTCCAATATCCATATAGAATATAATAAATCAAAAAACAATATTGCAATTTTCTTTTCGTTGACTTTTGAGTTGAGTTGATATTTATGAAATGAATCAAATACCCATCTGAATAATTCCATATTAATAAATACGAATATGAATTAATGTTGATCTAGAAAATAAAGATTAAATCATGGACATCACAAAATAATCATAATATCGGCTTTGAACCCACTCTTAGGAGATACAGATGTTATGTTGAACATCAGTATCTATGCAAATTTTCACTACAAAGATATTTATACAACAATAAAGTGATATATATATATATATATATGATATTTATTTACCTTGTATAGACTCTTCATGTTTCATGTTCCTATACACCTATTGAAATAAACATATACATTTGATTACATATACACCAGAATAAGAATCTAATTTAGTTGATAAAATATATGTGTATATAAATACCTGGAGATGACTTTTGACATGTGATAGTGTGAGTGTTTTCACACCCATTGACTTCAAAATCTTTTTAGGAGTCGCTCCTTCAATATTAAAGATAATCATAAGATAGATTTTTTATACAATGAATTTTTTTTTAAATGATATATAAAGAATAATTATACGATGTATAAGATATAATAATTAAAAATTTGAAAGATGAGAAAAGTAACACAATAGGTAAAAAAAGAGTTTATTGATTTTGATGACAAAAAGTGAGAAATTGTATTTGTTGTTCTGAAAAAAAAATGCTTACTCTTCTCGCCACCGAGTTGTTCAACAGCATGGAGAAAATAGCGATGAAGATCGGTAGTCCATCGCAGTCGCGGCATCTTCGACTTACTGTAAGATCTAACAATATCTCTTTTCATCATTTTTTTGATGATTTATTTTTGTACCGATTATAAATATATATAATTTTTTCTAGAAGATATAATTATCAAAAATAGCATAAAAAAAAATATTTAATGCTGGTAAATATTTTTCTTGTAGCTTGTGATTTTGCTGTTTTATTAAGGAAATTCAAAATTACACTTTTAAAAAAAAAATATTATTTAACACCAATTTTTTCTTATGGTGATAATATGTACCATAAAATTTAAAATTTTAATTAATACTACCAGATTTTTTTTCTAGAAAATAAAAGTATATGCTAACAAACTGTTTTATAAAAAGTCAAAAATTAACCCAAAATTAATTTAGGCGATCTATGATATGTATAACTTAATGGTTTGCACTAGTGTGGTTATTGTATCATCATCTAATTTAAACATAAGCATTACATGTTATATATTTGACAACAAGAAAAAATATATATTAGTGTTAACATGTAAAATTTATATTTTAATATAAATATAATTTTTGTTGTTATTTTAACAAAATAAATTAATTATATAAAATAATTTGAATAGAAATATTTAAAAGCATAATGCTTTGGAAAAGCTCTATGTAAAAGTATAGATGAAATATCATTTAGGAGAGCATTTGCATCTTTGAAATACTCTCCTAAATGCTTTATTAACAAAAGTTGATTGGATGAAAAACTCTACCCAGTCAAGGCCTTAAAGGATTGATTAGAAGAGCATATTAGTGTGCTTAATGCTTTTTAACCAATCATGTTTACTTGATTGAGCAGGAAAGAGAGCATTGAGGGGTTTATTAATGCCCGATAGTCTCTAGGAGAGCTTTTCCTAAACATTAAATGCCTTTTAAATTCCTTCTTCATTCCTACAAAAAAAAAAAATACTTATCAGTAATTCTATTTACACATAATTCCCTTTCATTCCTTATTTTTAGGGAATAATGGAACACAAATATTTCCCATCAAATTCAAGGATGAACAATAAGAAAAATATATTACTATTATTTATATTCATCTTCACTCTTTTCCTCTTCATTCCTTCTATTCCTCTAAATGGTTATCATTCCGAATTTATTTTAGATCCTATAGCTAAATTTCTTGTGATTTTATGGCCATTTTTCATAATTTTATGTCTAACTGCTCATAGCTCTATCAATCATATACCATTAAAATATCTGATAGCTTACAGCTTCATCAGGTAACTGTTTCTGCTCACTAGTACTACAACTCTTCTATAACCTTTGCCAGAGCCTATGTGGCCAGCAAAACAATATGCAATAGAAACAACTAGAGAATGAAGAATTTTCTAATAGAATAAACTATTATGAATCCAACAATCTAAAATAATCAATTCATGATCTTGTCTGAGAAATCCCTTAAACCCAACAAAAAAAAAATCATAGACGCCACATAGAAGCACATGACTCGTTCACGTAAGAAGGATCTAATTTATCTCCAACAAGTTATCTTATATAAACATATTAAATTCAAAATTTAATATGCTAATCTAAAATCACTGAAGTTTTGAAAGACTATTTTATAAATAAAAATGTTCAATTCCAAAATGGAGTGAAAAAATGAAAATACTCCATGTTTGTAAGAATTAATGGCATTTTTCCATTTTAGAGTTGAAAATATAGTAGGATTAAAAAATAATTTACAGTGGTAATTCTATAAACTAATAGTGTCAGGGCTTTGCTATTTTATTAATTTGTAGAGTTATTAATCTATCACATTTAACTAAAAACTCTATTAGAAATGAAATATAGAAAGAATTTTTTTTTGAAGTTCATAATCTTCTATAAATATTCTTTGTTTTGAAAGAAACATTCTTTTCATCAAGATTATCACCAACTTTCTTTATTCTAGAAAAACTGTAGCTACTAATCTTAATTAACGCTGATGATGAAGACAATACTAGAAATTTTCGATGGAATAAGAAAAATTAAAAATCAACTCCAAAATAATTCACTTTAAAGAAAAACAAACAACACAATATTTATATGTTAGTTAGTATCTTATCTAAGTTATATTTGTAGAATCTTTTTCATATAATAATAATTATTATTTATAATATCAATAAGACCATATATTTACATATAAATTTTATTAAAGTAATTGTTTTATTATCTAATCAAATACAATGTCTTATATTTGGAACAGATCCAATGCAGAATCAAACATATTTATTAATTTATAGTATTTATTAATATATTGAGTACTAATTCTTTTATTATATTTTAAAATAATATTTGGAGTAAAAAATAGACTAGGAGATGCCCTTATGACTCTCATTTAGTGAACCAACCAGTTTTTTCAAAGTCTTTGTACCTCTTAATTAAAAAAAAAAGAAGAAGAAGCCTTTGTCACTCTAATATAGACAAAAATGGTCTTTTTTTTAATTGTTTCTGGTACAAATGAAAATAAATTATTTTTCTATATGATTTTCTGCAATCAAACCCTCCATGTTTGCAAATCTACCATTTACGTCTCAAAATTGCAAGTTAAACTCGTCTAAATTAAGGTTTTCTTTCCCTTTTTCATCTTCTTTCTCAAAATTGAAAATTTGATTCATTTTGAAGTTGTCTTTAATTGACATTTTCTTGTGGTTTGACTGGCAATTGGAGAGTTGATTGCAATTTCAAAATGTGAAGGGTAGATTTGCAAAATTCAGTTACCTGGAGGGTTTGTTTGCACAAAATCCTTTTCTAAACTTAAATAAAAGACCATCACCTAACAACTCCATTAATTCATAACGTGTTTGTTTTCCAAAGACACAACTTCAATGGTGATGGCGTCTCCTTCTCATTACCCTCTGTTAATATCTCATTACCCTCTGTTAACTTTCCCAAATTCGTCTCCAATGGTGATGGCTTTTAAGCCTCGCAACTACAAAATCAATGTCTTTTCGAGCTTCCACGGGCCTGATGTCCGTAAAACACTTCTTAGTCACATGCGTGAACAGTTTAAACGCACGGGGATCACTCTGTTTGATGATCAAGAGATTGAGAGAAGCGCAATAATCGCTCCTTCACTCATAGAAGCTATAAGAGAATCAAGGATCTCGATCGTAATTCTCTCCAAGAAATATGCTTCGTCGAGCTGGTGTTTGGATGAATTGGTGGAGATATTAGAATGCAAAAAAGCTGGACAGATAGTGATGACCATCTTCTATGGAGTGGATCCATCTGATATACGGAAACAGGCTGGAGAATTTGGGATCGCATTCAATGAAACTTATGCACATAAGACGGACAAGAAAAGGCAGAAATGGAGCAAAGCTTTAAACGATGTGGGAAACATTGCTGGAGAAGACTTTTTAAAATGGTTAGTCTTTATTTTTATCATTAATCACATGTCAAAAAAAAATCAGGCAATGGTGCTTCATAATGAATAGGGGGAAATACAGTGGATTGATTGAATATTAGAGATATTTGTAAAAAATAAGTGCGCAACATTGCTGGAGAATAGTTCTTGGATGGTTGGTGTTTATTTAATCTGAGTTTTTATTGCTTAGGTTCTATTAAGTGGTAATCAGTAGAGAAAAAATAACCAGTTAATGGTGTTATATGATAACAAGGAGGAATTATTGTGATTGGAATTCGAAGGGTATATGCTTTTTGTTGTTAGAATATCATATATACCAGGTTAAGGAAATGCTTTTTGTTGAATGGATTATAACAAATACAAATCATGAATGATGAAGGTATAATCTATTATGTCTCTTTTGTCAGGGATAATGAAGCAATAATGATCAAGAAGATTGCCAGAGATATATCAGATAAATTGAATGCTACACCATCTAAGGATTTTGATGGCATGGTTGGACTAACAGCTCATTTGAGAGACATGCAATCTTTGTTGCATTTAGATTATAAGGATGGAGCTATGACTGTTGGAATCTGTGGCCCTGCAGGCATTGGTAAGACTACCATTGCCAGGGCTTTGTATAGCAGACTCTCTTTCAGTTTTCAGCTTACTTGTTTTATGGATAATCTTAGGGGAAGCTATCATAGTGGTCTTGACGAGTACGGATTGAAGCTCTGTCTACAAGAGCAACTTCTTTCAAAGATTTTGAACCAAAATGATATTAGGATAAGCCATCTAGGTGTGATAAAAGAAAGGCTACGCGGCCACAAAATGCTCATAATTCTTGATGATGTGAACAATATAAAGCAATTGGAGGCATTGGCAAATGAGACTACATGGTTTGGTCCTGGAAGTAAGATTATAGTTACAACAGAAAAACAAAGACCTTTTGCAGCAACATGGTATCAACAATACGTACCATGTGGGGTTTCCATCTAGAAAAGAAGCTCTTGAGATCTTATGTAGATATGCTTTATAAACAAAGCTATCCACATGATCATGGTTTTGAGGTGCTTGCTAAAAGGATAATAGAGCTTTGTGGTAAGCTTCCATTGGGTCTATGTGTGGTGGGTTCATCTTTACGTGGGAAGAAGGAGCACAAATGGAAAGACCTAATAAACAGCTCTCTGATTAGCCACTTGATGGTCTTTTGAGCCGTTTTTTGACTTGAGCACGAAAGAGCCTTCGGAAAACACAGCCCTATCATGTTTTTCGGGCCTTCATATTTTTTTTTTAATTTACAGGAGACTTGTCCCCGCAAGAAGACTAAAAATCCCTTAAACAATTTGGCGCTAGAAAGAGGACGGCAACACTTTCCTGTAAGAACGATCACAGAAAAAACGACCAAGAAGAACACCAAATAACGAGAGCAGACGAAAACAGTTCAATAGAGAACGACACAGTGTAAAAGACGGAAAGAGAGAACATCCATCAGACCAAGAGACCTACCACATTGTTCTTGGGACGTGCAGAAGTATAAGGAGCGTCTCTAGCTCCCCCAGTCCCACCAAATGCCCACTTGGAGCTCTTTCAAAGTGTGGAGGAAATTGCTTGACTCAGGGAGAAGGTGGACCAGCTCTCCCGTCAGCTGGTCTTAGCGGAATCCATGCAGAATGTGCCATCAAGCCCGGAAGTCTAGAG